TGTAGACTCATGAATGGATAAACAAAATGTGGTATATACATACAATGGAATATTATTCAGACTTAAAAAGGAAGGAAATTCTGACACATGGATGAGCCTTGACAATGTTATGCTAAGGGAAATAAGCTAGTCGCAAAAAGACAAATAATGTCTGATTCTATTATTTGAGGTACCTAGAATAGTCAAATTCATAGAGACAGAAAGTAGAATGGTGGTTACCAGAGGCTAGGGGGAAGGGGAAATGGGGAGTTGTTTAATGAGTATAGAGTTTTACTTTTGCAAGATGAAAAGAGTTCTGGAGGTAGGTTGCACAACCATGTGAATGCACTTAACATTACTGAACTGTACACTTAAAAGAATGGTTAAGATGGTAAATTTTATGCTACGTGCATTTTACTACAATTAAAAATAGGGTGGGCCAGCCCTGGTGGCCTAGTGGTTAAGTTTGGCATGCTCCACCTCACTGGCCCAAGTTCAGTTCCCAGGCTCAGACTTACACCTCTCATCTGTCAGTGGTAATGCTGTGGCAGCGGCTCACATACAAAAAGAGGAAGATTGGCAACACATGTTAGCTCAAGGCGAATCTTCCTCAACAACAACAAAAATTAAGTAAATTTTTTAAAAAGGCAAAATATATATAAAAATAAGCAAAATGAAGTGTTTTAACATTATTTAATTCTAATCTTAAAAATATCTCTGTAGATTTATAAAATTTATTTTAAATTTATTTATAGCACCCTATTTTATATTGAAAGCAGTTTGTAATTGAAAAAATATAATACAAAAAGGTTTAAAATCTCATTCTTGAAGTTTATAAACTGTTTAAAAATACCAAGTCATCTTCAATCTGCTTCTGTTTGTGTTCTATTTAGTATCCATTTATTTGTACTGTTTTTTCCAGTTTATTTTTTGTTCTGTGTTTCATTTTGGGTAATTTTTATTGTTATGTTTTCAATTTCTTAATCTTTCCTTATGCAGTGTCTAGTCTAGTCTTAATCCCATTCAGTATATATATTTGTATGTGTGTGTGAGGGGAAGATTGGCCCTGAGCTAACATCTGTTGCTAATCTTCTCTTTGCTTGTCTCTGAGCTAACATCTGTGCCAATCTTCCTCTATTTTGTGTGGGATGCTGCCACAGTGTGGCTTGATGAATGGTGCTAGGTCTGCACCCGGGATCCAAACCTGCCAACCCCACACTGCTGAAGTGGAGCATGCAAACTTAACCACTATGCCACTGGGCTGGCCCTGCCTTCAGTATATATTTTATCTCAGATATATTTTTTGTCTTTAGCATTTTGATTTGAATTTTCCCCATATCTCTGCTTAAAATTCACCCACTTTCATGAACATATGTAATATAATCATAACTTTTAAGATTTTTCTATAATAATATTAATGAATTATTCATTTTATTTACTCTAATATAAATAGTTTCAAAATAATATAAATATTATTACTAGCAATATTATTTCTGAAAACAGTTTATGTTTTTTTGGAGTTCCTTTTTTCTTTAAGGTATATCTCACATGGATATACAATCAAATTACTGTGTTTTAAAGTTACCCGAGGGGCCGGCCCAGTGGTGCAACAAAGTTCCCACGTTCTACTTCGGTGGCCTGGGGTTCGCTGGTTCGGATCCCAGGTGTGGACATGGCACCTCTTATCAAGCCATGCTCTGGCAGGTGTCCCACATATAAAGTAGAGGAAGATGGGCACAGATGTTAGCTCAGCGCCAGTCTTCCTCAGCAAAAAGAGGAGGATTGGTGGCAGATGTTAGCTCAGGGCTAATCTGCCTCAAAAAAAAAAAAATAAATAAAGAGATAAAGTTACATGAAATAATTCTCCACTCAAGCTACCAACTTGATACTTGGTTAGATTCATTTATTTCACTTTGCTTTTAACTTTTAGAGATATTTTTCCATTTTGATTTAGTTCTTTATTATAATTATGTAATATAGTTACATGTTTCTACAATTAAATGATACAAAAAATATATTCAAAGTTTGGTTAGACCATGTTCCCTCCCCCATAGGTAAGCAATTTTTTAGTTCTTGGTTTATGCTTCCGTTGTTTGTCTGTTTAATTGTGGTAAAATATACATAACATAAAATTTACCATGTTAACCCTTTTTAAGTGTACAATTCAGTAGCATTAAGTACCTTTGCATTGTTGCGCGATCATCACCACTATTCATCTCCTGAAGTTGTTCATCATTCCAAACTGAAACTTTGTATCTGTTAAACAAAAACTTCCCGTTATATCCTTCCCCTCTGCCCCTGTCTTTATGAATTTGACTAGTCTACCTACCTCATATAAGTAGAATCAGGCACTGTTTGTCCTTTTGTGTCTGGCTCATTTCATTTAGCCTAATATTTTCAAAGTTTATCCGTGTTGTTGCATGTATCAGAATTTTCTTTCTTTTTTTTAAGATTTTTAAATTTTTCCTTTTTATCCCCAAAGCCCCCCGGTACATAGTTGTGTATTTTGTATTTTTAGTTGTGGGTCCTTCCAGTTATGGCACGTGGGACGCCGCCTCAGCATGGCCTGAAGAATGGTGCCATGTCCACGCCCAGGATTCGAACCTGCGAAACCCTGGGCTGCCCGAAGCGGAGTGCGTGAACTTTACCTCTCGGCCACGGGGCCGGCCCAGAATTTTATTTCTTTTTAAGGCAGAATAATATTCCAGGGCATGTATATACCACATTTTGTTTATCCATTCATCTGTCGATGAACATTAGAGTTGCTTTCACCTTTTGGCTATTGTGAATAATGCTGCTATGAGCATGGGTGTACAAATACCTGTCCAAGTCCCTGCTTTCAGTTCTTTAGGTATACACCCAGAAATGGAATTGCTGGGTCATATGGTAATTCTAGGTTTAATGGTTTTAGTAACTGCTGTACTGTTTTCTATTGTTTTGGGTTTTTTTAAAGATTTTATTTTTTTCCTTTTTCTCCCCAAAGCCCCCCGGTACATAGTTGTATATTCTTCATTGTGGGTCCTTCCAGCTGTGGCACGTGGGATGTGGCCCCAGTGTGGCCTGAAGAGCAGCGCCATGTCCGCATCCAGGACTCGAACCAACGAAACACTGGGCTGACTGCAGCGGAGTACGCGAACTCAACCACTTGGCCACGGAGCCAGCCCCTGTTTTCTATTGTTTTTTAAACTACACGAAAAATATTATGAGCTCATGGATTTTAACATATTTTATATAGTTCAGTCCATTGCAGTCACTATTGTTTTCAGTGCTTACATTGTACCATCAACAAGATCCCCTTCGACTTGACTCCTGGATCCTTTTGATATGACTTTAGTCTTTGATGTCGTCCTTGCTTTCTGGAATGAGAAAATATTTGAGGCTGAACTTGTATCTTTTCTTTTCTTTTTTTTTTTTTTTGAGGAAGATCAGCCCTGAGATAACATCTGCTGCCAATCCTCTTCTTTTTGCTGAGGAAGACTGGCCCTGAGCTAACATCCGTGCCCATCTTCCTCTACTTTATATGTAGGACACCTGCCACAGCATGGCTTGCCAAGTGGTGTCATGTCCACACCCGGGATCCGAACTGGCGAACCCTGGGCCGCCAAAGCGAATATGCGCACTTAACTGCTGCGCCACCAGGCTGGCCCCATGAACTTGTATATTTTCTGCTCCAGGCTTGGAACCAATCTTTTCTCTAAGATGTTCTGGTTCTTTTTAGAGGGAAATGGTATTTAGAGACCACCATCAGAGTGCTAGGGATACTCATTACTACATTGGTCCTAGGCCTTTTCAGTGGACTAAGCTATAAAAATTTTTTTCTTTCATAATAGAAAATATATAACAAATTCATACTGTTATTTACAATAAAAGTTAGGATCATAGGGCTTTTATTATTGATTTTATACTTGTATCTCTTTTATCCTACATTTTACTTATTCAGCCAATAATCACTGTACATCTACCATATCCCTTATACTTTACTAGGTGCTGGAAATATGTATTAAAAACTTACATTTGATTGAGTTTCCACATTGTTTTCTATCTGAATGAGGCCTTTTGCTCCTTGTGCATCAGATCTATTCACATTGGCTTCTAGTTAAAAGGGCTGAGCAGTATTGGATTAGGTTTAAAATTAGTTGATCTTGGCTTATTTCTTATTTTGCATTATTTCCATTAACTACAATATGATTACACCCCTTAGTTGGCAGTGTCAAAGGAAAAATAGATTAAATAGGCTATTAATACCAAAAAATCATTTCATCACCACTGGATATTATCCCAGAACAAGATAATGTGATAGCAAGACAATTTATTGTCCTTGGGTGCTTAGCCTTTTGGTCAGTTGGGCTGGCATCGAAACTCCATTGTGGAAGAAACTCTTGGTCCAAAACTGTTTCACTGTATTTACACTATTAGAGTTTTGTTCTTTGAAGCTATTGGCCCATGTTAAAAAAAAAAAATCCTTAGAGAGATAAAATTCAGATATATAATTAACACATAGGAGTGAATAAATTTATCAGGCTTTTCCATTGTGACAATCAGCTGAAAATAAGTTTGGAAAGAAGAAAGTAAAGAATTAGGTCCAGCATAGAAGGGAATTGCTTGGCGAGGCAGACTTCTGAGAACCCGGGGCAGAGGTAGTGTGATGGCACTAGACACATGCCAAGGAGATGAGGGGCGTGAAAATAGCTTGTTAGACCTGAAGTTGCATTCAGAATATTCACCATTTTATGTTAGTTGTATAAGACTCAGCAGCCAACTAGACCTTTGGTGGTGCATCAGCAAATATCGATTCTAAAAAGTATTAGCAGTTTAAGTCAAAACTTAGGAATGGCATGGATGTTATCTAATGGTAATCTTTAGGTATATTTTTTATAAATAATAATATACTGATAATTTAAATTTAAAAAGTCACTTCACAGTATATGTATAAACTACAGTCAACAGTTATTCTTTTCAGTGTCCTAAATACATGAAAACTTTCAGAACCCAAATAGAAAACACAAGACTGAACTCATTTAAGACAGGGAATACTTTATTCAAACCCATCAGAGAAATGGACAGCTTGGGTCTGTAACAAAGCGTCATGTTTTAAAGCAAAGTCAGTAATTGTATATGAGAGTATACACTGCTACATACAAATTATCTGATCAGACCAGAACTTTTCAATGTTTAATAAAACAGAATAAGCTTCCCTGTAAAAGCAGCACCTTTGTGACATTTTAACTTCAGTATTCCTCTCCTTCTTCCTCACCCTCTCCTTCAACAGAATCCACACCGACCTCCTCATAATCCTTCTCAAGGGCAGCCATGTCCTCACGGGCCTCAGAAAACTCTCCCTCCTCCATGCCCTCACCCACGTACCAGTGTACAAAGGCACGCTTGGCATACATCAGGTCAAACTTGTGGTCCAGGCGAGCCCAGGCCTCAGCAATGGCTGTGGTGTTGCTCAGCATGCACACAGCTCGCTGTACTTTGGCCAGGTCTCCACCAGGGACCACAGTGGGAGGCTGGTAATTAATGCCAACTTTGAAGCCAGTGGGGCACCAATCCACAAACTGGATGGTACGCTTGGTCTTGATGGTGGCAATGGCAGCATTGACATCTTTGGGAACCACGTCACCACGGTACAACAGGCAACAAGCCATGTATTTACCATGGCGAGGGTCACATTTCACCATCTGGTTGGCTGGCTCAAAGCAAGCATTGGTGATCTCTGCTACGGAAAGCTGCTCATGGTAGGCTTTCTCAGCAGAGATGACAGGGGCATATGTGGCCAGAGGGAAGTGGATGCGGGGATAGGGCACCAGGTTGGTCTGGAATTCTGTCAGGTCAACATTGAGGGCTCCATCAAATCTGAGGGAAGCAGTGATGGAGGACACAATTTGACCTATCAACCTATTCAGGTTAGTGTAGGTTGGGCGCTCAATATCGAGGTTTCTACGACAGATGTCATAGATGGCCTCATTGTCTACCATGAAGGCACAATCAGAGTGCTCCAGGGTGGTGTGGGTGGTGAGGATGGAGTTGTAGGGCTCAACTACAGCTGTGGAAACCTGGGGGGCTGGGTAAATGGAGAACTCCAGCTTGGACTTCTTGCCATAATCGACAGAGAGACGTTCCATCAGCAGGGAGGTGAACCCAGAACCAGTTCCCCCTCCAAAGCTGTGGAAAACCAGGAAGCCCTGAAGACCTGTGCACTGGTCGGCCTGTTAGAAAAGAGGAAAGAGAGAACAAGTTATTGCTTTTTGTATACAATCATAGTAAATATATTTTCACTTTTCAACAATTCCAAGGATAGGATCTTATTTTGACAAGAAACACTTTAAAAAAAATGTAGCCCTTCCTGGAATTACCCAGCATTTCTTAATTAAAAATAACTTCATTAATATTTATAAAGTGACACCAAATAGTTCACATTTTAAATGAACTTTTTAAAAACTATAAAGGAATAATTCATTTCACTCATTATTACATTTCAGTTCTGTTTGGAAAAAAGAGGCTATTTCAGATGTCTTCCTTAGGTTCATTATTTACTTAATTCTTGAGAATAAACATACCAGTTTGCGAATTCGGTCCAAGACGAGGTCGATGATCTCCTTGCCAATGGTGTAGTGCCCACGGGCATAGTTATTGGCAGCATCTTCCTTGCCTGTGATGAGCTGCTCAGGGTGGAAGAGCTGGCGGTAGGTGCCAGTGCGAACTTCATCTGGAAGAGGAAGACAAAGCAGCCACCCATCACTAACCACCTGCACAAGCCTGCCCAACCCCAGGGCATCAAGGGAGCCCCAGGGCAGACCTCCTGTCCCAGACCCCTGGGATCTCACTCGGGTTAGTGTGGTCAACTCACCAATGACCGTGGGTTCCAGGTCTACAAACACTGCCCTGGGCACGTGCTTGCCAGCGCCGGTCTCACTGAAGAAGGTGTTGAAGGAGTCATCTCCTCCCCCAATGGTCTTGTCACTTGGCATCTGGCCATCGGGCTGGATGCCGTGTTCCAGGCAGTAGAGCTCCCAGCAGGCATTGCCGATCTGGACACCAGCCTGCCCAACGTGGATGGAGATGCACTCACGCTGTGGGAAAGAAAGAGAAAAATTGTAAAATTAGGTTGTATTAGAATTTTGAATTTCCAGTCAAGTTCTAAAAATATTTCTAATAATATACAGGTATTCTTCAAATTTATTTTGGTCATATCCCTAACACAATAGAAATGATTAAGGAAAAGCACGTGCTACAAATGCTGCAGATGGGTGTGGTCTGAATAATTTTGCACTGTTTAGCACATGGTACAAGTCCATTGTTCCCACAGCCATGCTTGAATAGAAGATTTTTCAGATTTAAAATATTCAAAGCTCAGATTTTGTAAAATGAAGTAAATTAAATTCCATCATTAATCAATTGAAATCAATATTACTACCTCCTTCCACTTTAAATAAAGATGAGCGTTTCTTCTAAATATGACTTGGTATTTCAACATGGACATCTGTACTGCAGCTGAGGTTAGCAGCCACACCCTTCTGCAGTCTATCTGCAGAGTCCTTCGTACTAGGAGGTTGGAAGCCAAAGGAGCGGCCTCCTGCATTGCTGCATTGCTGTATTTGCTGTGCCTGGTGCTAGCCTGTACTGTCTGCTACATTATTTAACAGAGCAAGCTCTATTTCCAGAAACTGCCTACATGATCTCATTCTGCTATTCTGCCAGTTTTCCTCCTCTGACCCAGGCTGGGACCATATGCCTAAATTGAAATGAATTAAGGAAGATGCACTAGAACAAAAGACAGCTGGACACAGAGTATAAGTCTTCTTTGTCTGAGGCAATTTCATTACTTTAAAAAAAAAAGTTTTTTCAGAATCTTCTCCACTGCAAAAAACTGAAAAATTATTAGTATCTTTAAAACAACGGTTCCTAAATTAGAAACAAATATCACATGAGAAGCTACCAAACAAAGAATAAAAGCCAACTGAAAGGATAATAAAATATTTATTTAAAACAACAAAATAGTATTTTCTTTCTGAGATTCTCTACCTACCACAGAATGTTCATATTCATCACATTCAATAGAGGTTTTCTTCTCTATGGTGTTTATGTCTATAACCTCCATTGTCTATCCATTGTCTCTTCACGGACATATTTGGGGGGAGGGGGGAAAGGAAGGGCGTTTCCCTGGGTCCTGAGCATTAGGGTACCCTAGGTCACAAAGTGGGCTTTCTCCCTCGCTGAACGTGCGGCCAAGACAGACAGACAGACAAACAGGCACTCACACTCTCTCGTCAGTCAGGGCGGGGCGACCCCAGACCAGACTTCAAAGGGCTTGTCAAGTGAACTGTGATTTTGCTCCTCAAGAAGAGATATTTCATCCAAGTTTTAACAGTGAATGATAAACCTTTTGACACCTACAGTTCCACAACGATGAAAGGCTTTTATTAAGTCTTCTGACAGGGGAGGTTTAGCGAGGGCGAACCCCGCCCAGTGGCTCCAAGGCCAGAGAAGCCAGAAACAAACAACTCCGCCCCTGCGCCGCCCTGACGCCGATTGCCATGGGCTCCAACAGAAACTAACCATTTTCCCCCGTTAATATACGGGTATCTTTCTAAAATGCCAACGAGCCGGGGAGGGATCTTTTTATACTAATCCGAGGCTCCGCTTTGTCCCTGTCTTTCCCCGCTACACCCACCGACGCCCAGTCTTTTTGGACCACTCCTCCTCTCCCTGCCCCTGGGGAGCAACGCGAGGAAGAAAAGAGCCCCTCGGCGTCACACGGATGCCGTGCGCACAGACGCGAGAGCCAAGCAGGCGACGCCACGGTCGCCATTCCCTGCCACAGACTCTTTCATCACCGACACAGGGGCTGCCTGAGGTGCTGAAGGGCTCGGAGAACAAAAACTCCCTCCGCGCTGCCTTTGTTCTTCCCACGGTTCTGCTGCGCCCTGGGCGCAGTTCTGGCTGGGCCCCGGCACCCTGTACTGCGGCGGCCGCCGGGCTCACGGATTTGGGGCAAAACTAAACCTCGCAAACAAAGCATAAGGTTACCCTTACCCGAGGAAGTTGTAAAGGAAAAAGGTCTTAAGATTTTCCAAGTAGATCCTGGGGGACCGACCCCACCCAACGGACACAAAGAGCCGAGAGAACGGATTCTTACCATGGTTGCTGCTTTGCGGCTGCGGAGCAGACGGCCGAAAGGAAGGGGAGAGGTTGTTGCTTCTTACAGCGCGACTCTTAGGCGGTCGATGTAAGAGAACCTGCGGCACATGGGCGGATGCGGCTCCCTATATACAACTCGGTCACCATGGGGATGGGCTGGGGCCTTTTCCTGTTGGTCCAGACCCCTCGATCTGCCCAGAGAAGCCACGACAGGAGAGTGGTGATTGGTGCAAGCGACATGGGATGAGGTAATCTCTCCCCCACCCCTTTTTCCCTAGCATCCATAGACTGTTTGCATCCTTCAGACAAAGAGACTGTGCAAAAACAGTCAGCCGAGCATCCATTATGGGGTGGGGTTGGGGAGGGGGGGGGGAAGGAAAGAAAGGGAACTGGGGTCGGATGGTTTTACATTGCTTAAACCTCAAGGCAGAGTTAAAATCACCAGTGTAGGGGTTTTTTTTCTATCCCTTAATTGTAGAGTTTGTGTTGAGATGAAATATTTAATGAAAAATTCCTCCCAACCCCTCCCTCAAAGTATACTAGACTCGACTACATTCGTTGAGGATGCGACGTCTTTAACTGCTTTAAAAATAAAGTAGGAGAGAAGATGGGAATGGTGCTTAAAATGGCTTATGCTTAAAATGGGTAAATGTGATTTTTTTTATATTTAAGAAAAGTTCAATAATAGAGCCATGCAAAATGGCTTCTCGGGTTCAAGTAATTTATTTTCAGACCTTCTTTTGTACTCCTCTTCCAAATGGCTAAACAAAAATGGAAGATGGAATGAATAACAGTACTAAATATGGAAGCACACAAGTAGTTTTAACATGGCAATAATTAAGATCTAATGAACGTATCATAGTTAAATAGTCTACTAGAAATATTGTTTTACCAGAAGCCTATGTAATATATGTATGTAATATGTAATTTATTTTATGAATATATTCATTTAAAATGAATCATCTTTCCTGATATACAATTGAGAAAATACAGGGAGGAAGAATTGAGTTCAGAAGCTAGTTCTACCTGTGCATGCAGTTTATTTTCTGCATTGTCTCTTTTCTGGAAAGAGGAAAAGAACTGAGACACCAAATTTAAGAAGAGAGCTGTGTATTGTAAAAAGACCATTTTGTAATGTTGCCTCCTTCCACAGACAACTGTCTGATGTCGGCTCAATAACTGCATTTCTTTTTTATGTGGTTCTTATGTGAACTTGGTACATCTCCTTTGCGATTGGGCTTTAAACTGTGGGAACTGTAAGCAGACTCACGCAGTTGCTATTCAGCTAGAGACTGGTGGTTGCTCAACTGCCTCTTGGGTCAAAAAGGCTTTGCTTTCACCCCTAGAAAATGGATTGCAGTAACATTCTTTTGCTATTTAGAAAGGCTCCATTATCAACAAGGATGGGCTATGCAGAATAAGACTCTGGACTGGGTGCCATCTGACATTGCTAATGAAATTTCAGAGGTAAGGAGGTTTATTATGGCCACCAAAGTTGAAAATTTGTATTTTGGCAGATAATTTTTCCTTCTGGTGTTCAGCAACAGATTGTCATGGTCTGCGGCACCATTTATAGTGCTCTGCAGAGCCCATTCATCCCTCCTGGGCTGGCAGGCAGAGCAGGGTATGGGAGGGGGAGACTTGAGGAGACAGCTGCTGCAGGTTGTGGCGTGACAATGGCGGCCATGGATTTTTCTCGCCTGCTATCCACAGCTCTGCTTTACTTCTTCTAATTTGCTGCAGTAGTCTTCTCTGGAAAAAATAAAACCCAACACACAAATAATTTCATCTACTTCTTGCATATTTCATAGGAAAAATATTCTTCAACATCATCTTATTTCCATCACTTTAGCAAATCAGAGTGTATTTCAGAAAAGAGATAGGAAAATTAAGGGTGACTTGAAAGTTTCTTTCTGAACCCAGAAGTACATTTAACAAAAATAAGAATTAAATGGCATAGGGAAGTATAGGATTAATAAGTAGCTCATTGAAAGTACTTCTTTCAAAATTTTAATAATGAAATAAATCAGACACTGCTGGACCATGGTAAATCTCCTTTTAAGAATGAGAGGCACAGCCTTGAATTTTATTTTCTTTGCAATATAAAAGTAATGCAGCATTTCCTCAGTAGTCTCAGTTCTTTATGCAATTTACAGAGGAATAAATAAAAGAGAGGCATGTTCATGCAGTTGATTCTTTGTAATTCTATCTCAGAGCCATTCTGTTCCTTATGTAAATGAGGATTTTTTTTCTCCCCTTGGGCATAAGTAACACTAAAATCTAGGTCAGAAATAGATTATTTGAGTACTGATAATCTTAAATATATAAATAGGAGATAACAATTTTTTCCTTTTGTTCCTCATTATCTGACTTAATAGCATGCAAACTATGAAAAGCAAAAGACGTTCTTTTTGCTTGTTCACTTATTTTTACTGCCAGTTTCTTTAACTTACATCAATATACGTGTATTAACATCTTACTAATGGACTTATTTTTGTCCACAATAAGATTAGCATAAAACGTCTTTTCTTTTATAATATTTTTGGAATTTAAATTATTTATTTTTGCGTCTATACCTCTTCTCCATTAAAATGTGAATCCTAGTCCCTGGCAAAGTGCCTAGTATATACTAGTCATTATATACATACTTGTTGAATTAAATGAACAGCTTCTCTCTGTGCATATTTTCATTAAATATCTCATAGTCAGTAATTTAAAGATATTTAATAAGATATTTTACCTTTTTTATTCAATAAGCATTTACTGAGTGTCTACAGTTTGCCCTGGACCATCCTAGATAGCATAGGGAATTCGGAGGTAGCAGCATTGTCTCTTTTCTCTAGAATCTTCCAATCTAATTGTAGAAATAAAACAGGTATATGCATCTAGGATACATACATACATCTGTGTATATATAGAACGGCATGTGTTTGTATGTACGTGGGGAGGAGCCTGCTAGAATCCACTGCATGACCCCATGTATCATAACTTATGTAGGAAACAAGAGAGTTGTCTAACACTTTTTTTCCTACTTCTTCACCTCCTATATTTATCCCTAAATCTATTCCAGTCTGGATCCTGCTCCTACCACTCCTTGAAACCAAATGCCCTCCATATTTGCTGCTAAATCCACTGGACATTTTTTAGTTCCTGTTGACCTGTGATAAACTTTGTCACAGTTGACTATTATCTCTTTCTTGAGACACTTTCTTCCTTTGGCCTCAAAAACTCTACATTTTCTGAGTTTCCCTCCTACATTTTTTATTTCTTCTGTTTCTGCTGGTTCCTCCTCCTTTCCTAATCTTTAAATGTTGGAGTTCCTCAAGGTTCAGCCCTAGACACTCTCCTCATTTTATTCTATGTGATCTCATTCACTCCTAGTGGCTGGTAAGTGCATTTATTCCCAAGGCTGCAAATCCTTTCCATATGCCCGTGACTACTTTTTTTTTTTTTTTTTTGAGGAAGATTGGCCCTGAACTAACATCTTTTACCAATCTTCCTCTTTTTGCTTGCGGAAGATAGTCCCTGAGCTAACATCCATGCCAGTCTTCCTCTACTTTGTATATGGGACACCACCACAGCATGGCTTGATGAGTGGTGTGTAGGTCTGCACCTGGAATCCGAACCCCAGGCTGCCCAAGTGGAGCATGTGAACTTAACCACTACGCCATGGGGCCAGCCCCTGCCCATGACTTCCTGACATCTCTTGTTAGTTCCAGATTGTATAGTCAACTTCCAATCTCTGGCTGACTTTCTCATAGGTATCCCAAATTGAACTAGTTATCTTCTCACAAACATATACCTCCTACAGGGTTCTCTTGCTCAGTAAATGGAGCATCATACACCTGGTTTCTCAAGTCGGAAACGGGAAATATTCTTGCTATCTCCCTCTCCTATTCTGACCACCATAGAATCAGTAACTAAGTCCTGTCAAGTCTACCTCCTAAACATCTCTCAAATCTTATTCTTTTCTCTCCATCTCTACTGCCTCCTGTCTAGTAAGTACATCATCTCTTGCCTGGACAACCTCAATTCCCTCCTAGATTTCTTCTACATCCACTCCTACCCCCAGTCCAGTCTTCACACAACAACCAGAGTGATCTTATTATGATATGTATCACAGATCATGTCATGTAATACAGATCATATCACTCCACTGTTTAAAGCAGACCAATGGCTGCCTGTTAGTTTTAAGATGAAGATCTCAAATCCTTAATATAGCTGTTTCAGTTCCATAATAGAAGTAAATCTTATACTTAAAAATCTCTGAGAGGACACATTGATTTTAAATTACATTAAAGTTCAGATAATTTCCCAAGAGTTGGTGTTCATAGGGAGAAGGGAGGCAAAGGGGTATAAAAGCTGGATGTTCACTTTATAATTATTTGTTATGCTGTAAAGTTATACTTTATGCATTTTTGTATTTATGCAATTTTTATAATAAAACATTTTAACAAAGTAAACTAATGAGTTCATAAAGATATCCCCATAAAGGAAAAGAAAAATAAAAAAGAGAAGAAAGTGAATTAAAAATAATCATCTGAGGGCCAGCCCCAATGGCCTGGTGCTTAAGTTTAGCATGCTCTGCTTTGACGGCCCAAGTTTGGTTCCCAGTCACGGACATTCACTGCCCTGTTGGTGGCCATTCTGTGCTGGCAGCCCACATACTAAAAAATAGAGGAAGTTTGGCACGGTTGTTAGCTCAGGGCAAATCTTCCTCAGAAAAAAAAACGTCATCTGCTACCATTGCACCACTGGAAGTAACTAGGGCACCAATTCCATACTCTACACACTGGCAATCAGATAGTCAAATAAAGAATTGAACATTTGTTCTGCACTTCCTGTACAAACTGTATTTCAAGGTAACCGAATGACCCTAGTTAATTAGGGAAATCATTCTTTTACAGAATAATGCCAACTAGTAAATGTGAAAGTAATCATAGAATTAGAAAAATCACCCTTTACATCCCCTAATGAAATAATTTATTCAGGCAAAGATCGTCAGTGGATGAAAACTCAGATGAAGTATTCATGTGGAATTTTTAAATGGAAGGATTAGGCCTTTACCGTCTGAACTCACCGATCAATCTTAGTATCACTAAAACTGGGACAACCAGACCTTGTGAACCTATGAGGTGATCCAATAGGAAGCA